TCAGAATATTTCTTGCAGTCATTTTCTTGCAATCATTTAAACAATTTTGCTATTTTTAAGGCATGCTTTTAGTATGTTTGATCAATTCCAGCCTTCAAATGTAATTCATTACTTTATAAGGCCCAATAGACCTCGGCTTATTCCTTGGAAATTAAAAATAAAAGGATCTATTTAACTATTCTTTTCTACTATTTCTTTTCTTTTGTTTTTTTATCTTTTTAAAAATACTGTTTGCAAAACAGGGAGCTGAAGCCCCCAAGCCCCCCCTCTGGCGCCAGCCATGTCATCATCATATCTTCATTTGTTCGTTTATATAAAAACAATAGACAGCACTCATTTATGTCGTAGAAATAAACAGTGCACTGTTTACTGCAGTAAAAATAACGCAAGCAAAAACGCAAGTAAGCATTTGCACACATTTTAAATCTTTTAACTGGAAAAGGAGTGCAGCTTTGGTCTAAGAGAGGTGTGATCAACCAGCTTCAACCCTTACTCCTATTTTCTTTTCCAAACATGCCACTGAGTGTAGGTGACTAGGTTAATCATACAACTACGATGCAAATTTGTCAGAAACCAAAACCAGTACACAGTTGTTTCGTTTCTTGCTACCGACCTTTCAAAGAGGTCTTTAATAAAAGCATGCAAAAAGAATGCGATAATTTGCAGAATAGGAATACCCTTGATATTGAGCTCTTGCGACCAAATTGATTTAGCCAAACACCAATACGACTGCAGATAAATCTCTAAATGCAATATGTCTTTTATAGTTCTTCAGAAGGTTCAGTACATCAACAGACTACCATTGTCTAGTCTTGCTTGATTGCAGATTAAGTACCAGGAAAAACCTATCTGAATGGCGCTGCTATTCTTTCAACAAAGCTTAATTACCGAGAAACCAATTCCTTGATTAATACCTTGAATTGAATCCAACACGATGCCAGGCAATCTGATTGCGATGGATCGAGTTGTTTTGCTCATTGGCATCAATATGCCATGTTTTACTCAGTATGCCATGTTATAAGTGGCACGATGCGTCTTAAGAGCTCTTTCCATTTAACGTCGAAGTGAGCATGCGCACTTTCGTTCATGAATCTTTGCGCGCCAAGAGAAATCGCAAGATTGTCAAGATATCCCGTCAGTCAGTGCGTTACAAAAGGTCTTTTGTAAAACCCAACCAATGGAATTCAAATGTCCATCGAAATGACTAGGGGAATTTTGCCTTTAAATGAGCTATTTTTATGAATCTTTTCAAGCACAAAAAGGCAAAAATGATGCATGGTGATGTGGTGTGGTGCATACTTAGTTGTATTCAATGCGACCAGTGGCATTGTCAGGGGTATCATGGGGGCGATTGCGAACCTCCGCCCGTCATCTAATTGAAAAAGTTTGTCTTCAGGTGCTGATACTTAAAAGAACTCGTACATAGTTATAAAAGTTCGCATCGCAATGCTAAGCATGCTTTTGGGAAAACCTTCTAAGAAAAAGTAAAAAGTGTATCCCCCAATATTTTCATGAGGGCCTCACCCAATGGCGTCGCCAACCACTAAGCTCTGGGAGGGGGAGGGGGGTGACAAAACAAAAAATTCAAGTCATGCCCTTTTAACCAACAGAAGACGGCCTTTTACCAACAGAGAACGCCAATTTTATCCGAAAGGAAGTTTGAAAATCATAGGATCACATCACAAAAAGTACGCTGTCAAAATATTATCCCTCCCCCAAAATTTTCTCATCGAATTTAGACGAAATACAAAATCGATTCTGCCGAAAACTGGGGGACGTGTCCTCCCCCTGTGACGCTGCTACTGGCCTCACCCCAGATCCCTAATCTGCCATATTATTCACTCTGGCCATGCTGCTCTGTGTGAATATACAAATCTGAAGTTTAATTCAGAGACACTCAAGATTTGCTCTCATGAAGATCTCGGCGAGACCACAATGCAATTTTCGACGCCGGGCCTGGCTTTAAAGTGTTTTTCAGCATTTTTCTTTCAAAGTTTCTATACTCTATAGCTATATCCTTATCTTAAGAATTGATTCGCTATTATTTACCTATTACTTTGAATTGAATGCAGAATGACTTCCACATGCTTTACTTGGCATGTAATCCTTAGCTACGCATGCAAAGAAACCAAACCACTGAAGTAATTCATGCTGCTTGGATCATCGATATTCATGCAAAGCCATTTTCTACTGTTTGACTTAACTATTGAATACGCGCTTCTTTTTGTTGCCTCAAGCTTTTGTGCGCTCAGAAATTACCAGGAATAAATGTCTTACAAGTGAATGAACAAATTCTTGTTGAATAAATTTGTGACGCAGATGCAATATCTCATCTCACACCAACTAGTAACTACATCCTCATTGAGGACTCAACCAGTGTGCAAAGCATTACGTAACTTGTAGCCAGCAGCACACTAGCGCGTCATTGACTCACGCCCTAATCCCAGCTAAAATATTGTTTTCAGAGACACTTTAAAGAAGTGGAAAGAGGATCATGTTTTATGATTTTATGTTTCATTTTCACCAATTTATTTTGAAAACACAAATTGATTCGGTTTGAAAGAAATTTTATTTCAGAACATTTAGGTACCTCTTTTAATATTTTAAGATTTGAGCCATTTTTCATCCTTGTTCCTTTGCGCAACCAACTTTGAGGATAATCAGAGCAATCAAAAAAAGCAAAAATGAACTAAGGACCAGCAAGTAGCAAAGAAACCATTTTAAAACGGGTGTAAAAGGGACACTGAATGCCACTGTTACAGCGTTAGCTTTTTTATCTTTCGCTTATTTTTTGTTTAGAAAAAATACTCGTTCAATTGTTGAAACAATCAGTCCATTAAAAGCTCAAGGAAATTCCCAAAACAACATTGAACGCCTAAAGATGCAAGTGATTTGATTAAAAAATTGATTTTAAATATGAAGTCCAACATCGTTAGACTGCTAGCTTGTACACTTTGTTCTCCAACTCGTTAATGAGTTTTTATTGAGAATCAATTAGTTTTCTTTTCTTAAAATATGTATTGGTTCATCAATTGCTACACGGAAATTGACGAATTTTTTGCTGATGCAGATGTTTGTAACCAGTTGTAGCACAGACCGGAAACATACCATATTTATAAACTAGAAATAGCTCTTGCTAGTACTGCCCGCAAACAATTAGTTCCTTGATAATGATTGTTTTGAAAATTTAGGTCAGGATATTCGAAGAAGACACCATCTTGGGTTTTCACAATTTTATAAAAACAGCTGCTCTAGTTGATGCTAAACTATTCTTTTTATCAAGAATTTTTGGTGTTCAGTTTGCCTTTGATTTAAGTCCAACGCCCTTTTGAAAATCATGAAGTTTTTCTAGGGTTTGACATTTATTTTTCGTTTTCGTGAAGACCGGAAACATACCATATTTATAAAAAAAGGTCTTGTCCGTATACTGTTTACCATTCGATGGCCAGACTCAAAGAAGAAATATTGAGAAAGTCCTAAAGGGGGCAACTGCCCCACCAATGTTGCTTGTGTATTGTCGATAATATTAGTAAAATGGGGTTTGGGTCCTTTTCTGTTCTCAATTTTTACTTCGCCTACATAAGATTGAATCCATGCCGTTGACTACAGCCCCTCAGGATATGACTATTGATAGGTTACTATTACCAAAGTAGTCAAAGAGACTAGCAATAATCATTCCGTTGTTGTACTTGTTTATGTCATTATCAATTACGATTTCTAAGTAATAATCAAAGAGTGTTAACGTAAAATAATATTAAATGCCCATGAGTTGCAATTTCTAGCCTGACAGCACAACATGCAATTTCCAGCTCGAATGGGGTTAATCTAAAAAAGGAACAATAGCTCCAAACATCCGTATAGTCTAAGAATTTAGATTGAGATGCCAGTCCATTTAGATTGACTTGTTGTCAAATCTGAAACATTTATCTATTTCAAACAAATGAAACAAATTCTTCTCTTGTTTGAATATTTAGAATAAAGGACATGAAAAATTCAGAATAATAGGGTGTAAGCAGTGTGATTGCTAGCTTTTTCGCTTTAGGGAGGTGTTCAGGCCTCATTTGCCAACAAATTGAGTGAGACAACCTTCATTTGCCGACAAGTTTGAATATTCACCGAAAAAGCACCCACACATGGCTAAATATCCTTGTTATTAAGATGAAACGTTGTTCAAAATTGCATAATACAGTAGCTCAGTCTCAACTCGTTCTTAATTTGTTCTTAACTTTTGACAAAGTTTAAGCCTCGAGTTCTTACAAAATTGTTCTTATAAAAGAAAGAATGTACAGAAACTTGGGTTTTACGACATACAAAATCAAAATGTTGTTTGACCTTACATCATAAGCATTTTTTTAACGCCTTTACTTGATACTCAAAAATTGTAATGTCTTTTAATTGGGATAACAGTCAAATCCACACCCCCCCCCCAGCGATGACACGAGTTTTGCACAAGGCTGTCACCCCACCAGTCATTTAATAACAAGGCTAAGACACTATGCTGAGACAAATATGAAAAGAATTGTCTCAAAATGTTCCCATCGCGAGTTCAAGAAACAAATTTGATACGTCATACTCAATTTCAATATTCGCAATTTGCAAATTCCAAAATGGTTGTAATCTGGGCGTATTCGCGGTTGTTTTCAAGCCACGAAGATTTGCTCGTCAACATGGTTTTGTCAAATTCGAGACTAGGGTAATCCATCTTTTTAAATAAATACTTTAAAACTTTTGACGAAGGAACATTTAGTAAAGGGCATCATCTTGCACTTGAGAGGTTGACGAAAAACGATACATTATTCAATACTATTTCAAACGAGTGATGTTAAAATGATTGAGATTGAGGGGAGTGGCTACAAAGACTGCAAGTATTGTGATGTATCCTTCTAAGATGTCTCATAAGTTGAGCCCAGCGTTATTCTTACTTGTAAAGAATAGCAAATAAAAATTTAATAAATTGTAAGGAACTCAGACAAGGTGCCCTGAAACAAAGACAATAGAAAGAATCTGTCATCATTTCATTTTCAGCAAAACTTTGTCTCACAAGACGATTTAAAGACGACTTTTTAGAGCATTTAAATCCCTAAGCATTATCAGGGCCGTCGCTACCGAAGGGGGGGGTTTGGGGTATGTGTGTAAAAAACATCCATTGTAAAAATGACCAGATTTTTTATAATCTAGGGGTGCTCCAGATTTTTCGGCAAATAGAGGATGGTTCATCAACTTTGTCGGCAAATGGGATCGGAGCATTATTAGACATTGATTCTGACCAAGGCCAAGTCACTTCATGAAAATTTCTTACCCCTTTTTTCGGAAGTCCTATCGTTTTATATGAAAATCCCAGGAACTGAATTACCCTTCGGGTTCTGGTGGATTTATTAAAAATGCTATGTAGCTTCACTACTGATAGCCTCCTCTTTATCGATACGGGGTGGCATTACCTTCCAAAAGTGCCAACATAATATTAAAACTGCTCTATGATAAAACTAACAATGGCTAAATTGCATGGCTAATTTGCATGGCTAAAGTATTACTCCTGCAGTCAGAATTTCCAACTTGGCGTTAACAACACACTTGAAATCAAGAAGCTGTCATCTAGCTAACTTTGGGGGGGGGGGGTGGCGGTAGTAGCAAATTGGTTTCTCGAAGTGGCTTTGTGTAAACGAACAGGTTTTCAAATCAGAAGGTCTGCATCACTACACGGAAACGATATGGTTTAAAGTCTTTGCATTTTAAAGCAACCGTCTCTTGGTTCAAGGAAAATCGGCATTTGTTTGTGAACAAAAACTTTGTGTTAACAAAGTTTGCGAACAAAAACAAGTTAGGTCATACACAATATGTAGTTTTTAAAGGGGTTGAGGAATAATGAAGCTTTTATACATAAAAACCACCCTTTTAGAACAACAGGGGTGCGCACGTCTTTACTACCATAAAATGCGAAAAATGTTCTTTTTGAGATGATGACAAGCACTGTAAATTAAAATGACGTTTCTATTTTGAGTAGACTTTCGAGTCATATCGAATAAGAGCCTTCCCAGCCCTCATCTTTCGCAATTGTCATTCTACCGTTACACAACACCTGGTCTACGTTATTCACTGGTTGCACGATATTTTATTTACATACTCTTACATGTTTGATCTATCTACCTCTAGAAACTCCAAATAATTCGAACTAACTAAGTTGCGAAATCCTATACACAGCTTGGCAGTGACAGCTGTCGACGTAGGCCCGTGGCCTGAAGGGGGCATTGGGGCTGAGCCCACCTGAGACGGAGAAAATGCTATTGTTCAGTTAATATACTTCCTAACAGGTTGTGGCTTTGGCCACCCCTCCTCCCATCCCTAAGAACTTTATCCTGGCCTAGAGCTCGTCTCGACCTGATAAACTGTATCCAATAATAATAATAATAATAGATGCACTTAAATAACAGTATGTGAATATCAAAAACGACTAGGTGAGGTCTGAGTGAAATGTGACAATTTAAACACCCGTCTGTCAGAGTCAATTCAAATGTCTCTTGAAATTTCACAATTCGGTCGAACGTGATCGTACCATGTCAGTAGGGGGCATTGGTGTCGATGTTCTGTTGTGTAAAGATTTTTCAGATAGCCGCCTCCTCACCCCTTGATTTGAACCTGGCCATGAAAATGCCGTTGCGGCACGCGTAGGCACGCTCGATTCTTCGTGTTTGCCATGTAGATTTGTTCCTGTATCTTTTTGGCTTGGGTAGGATGACGATAAACTGCTTCTACGTATGTAAGAAGCATTTTTCTTCGGAAAAGGGGTACCACATCTGGGCGGAGTGGGGGTTTGAAATCGAATTTCGTTTGGTTTTGCGGCAAATGCGTTAGTTCTTTGAGCCATATCGAGCTTCGCTTCTGCAGCATCACAGTTGTGCCGTGGCGTAACCACATTGTTCTTTCTTTGCCAAGAATTTGACAACCTCACTGACAGTTCCGACCCAACTTGCATACATTTAGAACCACTTTCCATATTTCTCATCACCCCGTAATCCATCCTGTTCGAGTTCAAACTATTCTTCTCTCTAGCACGCATACTCCACAGTCTTTCTGAATCAGCACGTTCTTTTGTAGTTACTGGGTCTCCCCTGATCATTGGTATACGTAGCGTAGTTTTTTCACGAATTTCCTCAAAGCAATTCACTTTTGGCACGCAGTTTACATATGACTGCTGTTTGATCCATTGGCAAACTGATTTCATTTTATCTGTATTTTCTTTTTGTTTAATAAAATCTTGGTCTTTCGCATCTAAATCCCACAAATTTAATTTCCTTACTCCGTTAATCTTGAAACTGCTTTCATTACTCTTATGTTTTTCTCCAGGACGACTTTTCCATCCTTGGTCGGCAATATATTTGCTCCCTTCGTCACTGTCTACGAAAACATCACTTTCATCGTCTCCAATAGACACACAACTTTCTTCATCAAGTCCCGTTTGAGAAGCATTCTCATTTCCTGTATTCACAAGTTTGCCTTTCTCTTTACCAGATATGTCAGAGCTGTTGGAGTTTTCAGTTAAACTAGGTAATTTGGAAATCTTACGATTTTCATTTACAGGATTAATTGCTGATTTCAACAACAGTTTTTTCTCTGATTTCAAGTCTCCAAAATCACCATATTCAAACAGGGTTGGCAATGAGATATGTCTGATGCGCCGATTTAATTCTTCACTGTTCCGTTTGCTCATGACTGACAAAAAGAAATCAAGAACACAATTTTCATTACAATGAATATAGAAAAAGAATCGTAGGAAATTGATTCAATAACAGGTGCGAAGTTTTTGAAACGCGAAAATATAAAACTTACCTTTCCATGCAAAATACTTTGTCCGAAATTGTTTGTTATTTGAGATATCTCCGTATTTGATAATTACGAATGATCCGATCCGAAAATCCTGAATTCTTCGTTACCAATGCCAACCAAACCCCAGAAACGGTGTCGATAGCCAAAACGGCGAGACTAAAATCTCTTCAGTAAATTATAAACACAAAAATGAATACAGGCCGATGGAAGCAGTTTGATTTGGCATCGACCAATTTAAAAGCCTGGAATCAAGCTAAGCTACAGTACAGTCGACTTGATTGTCTGTCTCACAAAGTCATTTGATAGCCACCCATTCAAAACGAACGAGTATATGTATTTCCTCGATTCCCTGTGACGTCCCGCGTGCAAAAGCCGATAAACCGCAGAAGAAAATAGCGCATTGGTTTTCTAAATCTTCTTCCTAAACTTTCATCAGGTATGTTAAATGTTATGTAAGATATTGAATCGTGTCAATGGACTACTGCTATAAACAATTTATGTTACTGCTATAAAAGTTTCCGGTCACGGGTGGTGAATGAATGACAAAATACGTCCAAGGGAAACCAAATACATTGATCTATTGCACCTCTTAACCGTAGCTAAAAATGAGAAAGGACAGTAGCGGATTTAAGGGGAAAACTGGGGGCAGCAATGGCGGTGCCAGCCAATAAGCTCTGGGTGGGACAAAAATGAAAAATTTCGACAACACCCTTTTTACCACCAGAAAACACCCTTTTACCAACAGGAAAGCCAATTTTTTCCGAAGGGGAACGTCCATGACTAACTTTTGGTTACATAGAGGCAGTTTGAAAATCATAGAATTACATCTCGAAAAGTAGGCTGTCATAATATTACCCCTCCCCCAGCATTCTCATCGAATTTGGACGAAAAACAAAATCGATCTTGCCGACAACTGGGGGGGAGTCCCTACTGGGGGCAGTTGGCCCCTCTCCAAATCGAAGCAAGTCTGGGAACCTTTTTTGGAAATTGTGGCCCAGACTTGCTTCTGAACCCCAGACTTAATTTACTTCAAGGATATTCTCAAAGTAAACTTTTTCATTCAGAAGATGGATCGTGTTCCGGAACCCATAAAGTTGTGTTCTTTAATTCCTGCCTTCATTCAAACAATTTTCTATTGCTTGTTTTCTATCTTCATATCATAACCAAACAATACAGAACCATGGACCATAACTGTGATAGAATGTTTGTTTGTTGTGCCAAGGATCCTTAGTTCTCAGTCGGTGTTTCAAATATTCTAGACCCATTTTCTGGCTATCCCTAGAACTAGCAATCTTAACTATACCCTGGGTTCCATCCCGCAACCCCCTATTTCCTCGAGGCCCTATTTCCTCGACACTGACGCTCTGGAACCCAGGGTATCTTAACTACTGCTTATGTCACTGAACTTTAATCGTAGCCCCCCTGGATTCAATTTCGTGGCGCCTACTCTGATAAAATAAAACGACAACCTAGCGTTTTAAACATGAATGGCTCTTAGTAGCAATAACTTCTGTTGCAATTAGCGTACGTCACATGACTTTATTTAATTTGCATGGTGTTTTGTTTAGCAGTGGTTGAAGAGACTGAGAGACTTATGTTGCGTTGAAGAGTTGTGGCGTTCAAACTATGAACTAATTTTAATATAAGAAAGTTATTATAGAGTCAAGCTTGCATTGTATATATTATTCTTTTGTAAATAGCCTTGTTGATTTGAGAAAAATGTAAGAATCAAGTTTGGAATTGGGTCGTATTCAGTTATGTGTTATCTGCTAGGATTCCACGAACCATGGCGAAGAAACACATGTTTAAATAAAAAAACAGGCTACATTCAATTCAAATCAACTTGGATAGCAGGTTAGTAATAGATACCCTGGGAGTTTTAGTTGCCCGAAGGGAAATTGACTTGTGAAAATATTTCTTGCTGACGTCTTCATAACCGAGTGCAGTTATGACGTAAGACTCTCATTGTCAAAGCAATCAGTTTTTATTGCAATTTGATAAAAGATGACTTTACAGAAGTTGGCTGTCACCTATCAACTCTGATGCAGTTTCCCATTTGAATGACAATTTCATTATTGGAATAAGCAATTTCCCTATTTTAACCTTCAGAGTCCTCTGAGATCTAGCACTAGTTTTATCTCGATTTGGAAAATCACTAAAATCTGAATAAAAGCGACACTATGTTTATAGTTGATTGTTTAACTTGCATGGCCGCCGAGAGGTTTCGGAGGCCCTGGGGCAAGACGATGCCCTCACAAGCGAAGTGAACAAAACATTTTTGTGACCACGCCCTTTACATTAGCTTAAAATGCATATGAGAATATTGCTTGCAGTTACTTTCTTCAATCTCTTTAAAGAAGATGGACTATTTCATAAGCATACCTTTGTTATGTTTGATTAAATTATTTCTTAAAATCGGTTTCATTTCTTTATGACGACCCGTGGACCTCGAGGCCCTGGGATAATTTACTCCCAGTCCCCTTCTCTCGGCGACATTGCTGTGCGACATGCCTCTTCTCCAAGCATGTTTCTTTTTCTATCACTATGCATCCTTGACAACTTGACAACTAAAGTGACCGTGCTCTAAGGTTGTTATGCAGCAGCAACACTGATTTCTATCTATTTTTGTGAATCTTAGTTTGTCCCGTTTGCGGCGAATGCAATGAGGTGAATAGAATACGCGTATTCAGGGTCCACGCCATGAATTTCAAGGTGGAGGGGCCAAGTTAGGGCCGTTTTATAAGTCGCGCCGTGCCGCGCCGAACCAGCAGGTTTTTGGTTCGATTGAGGTTCGACTGTGATTCACCTCCGTTTTATGAAGGCAAAAAGTTGGTCGCGCCGAACTGTAGTTTCGCATGCGCATAACCACTTGAGTCTTTCGTCTGAGAAAACAAGATGGCAGACGAAAGAAGTGTCATTTAAGCGCGGCGCAGATCCACTGTTGGTTTTATAAGTCACTCTGGGTCGACCCAGCCGAGCATCCCTAGCCGTAAGGCTCGACTCAGTCGAACCACGTCGAACCAGGCGACAAATTGGTTTTATAAAAGTCGCACCGCGCCACATCGCACAAACCAAATTTCACGTGGCTCGGCACGACTTATAAAACGGACCTTATATACATCGAACTTGAATTTAGAGCTTCAAAACAGGGCCTCTATGGAAACATTTTTGCTAACCAAAATATTGTCGTGCCGTGCAATGGCGGCGCCAGCCACTAAACTCTGGGGGGGGACAAACCAAGAATATTTAAGCCACGCCCTTTTAACCACAAGAAAACGCCCTTTTACCAACAGGGAACGCCAATTTTATCTGAAGGGAATGCCAATTACTAACTTTTGTTTGCAAATTGGTAGTTTTAAAATCATAGGATTACATCAAAAAGTACGGTGTCAAAATATTACCCCTCCCCCAACATTTTCTCATCGAATTTAGACGAAATACAAAATTGATTCTGCTGAGAACTGGGGGGGACGTGTCCCCCCCCCCCCCCCCCCCCCCCCCCCCGCTTCTGGCGCGATTCCAGGCGCTTCTTCTGGTGCCGTGCCCTGGTACCTATTATTAATCTTACTGGGCAATGGAATTCTTGGTAGCATAAGTAGGGGCCATCTTGATTTAGTGTTTCTTTACATCGAGTTGTTCTGCTTGTTGGACTTTGATGGTACGGTACGATACGATTGCCCACAAAGTTGTAAGCATCATATTCGAAAAGGAACTGTGCATCAACAAAGATGTCTTCTTTTAATGCAAAACAATGTTACTTGGTTGTTTATAATGCAATCCTTTGCATAGGATGGTCTGCAATATTGGCTGGAATCGCGGTCGAATTTGCAGCGCAAGGAGGAGGGAATCTAGGACAGGACAGTTTGTTGGAGTTGTTGTATTTGAGAGTGGAGAAATTGCTTAAGATATGTCAAACAGCTGCAGTTTTAGAAGTCATCCATTGCATTGTCAAAATAGTACCTTCATCTCCAGTTCTCACAGGATTCCAAGTTGCATCGAGGCTTTTTGTTTTGTGGATGGTAACAGATCTGGTCCCCCTCACTCAAAAGGCACCTGGAGTTATACTTTTCCTTCTCTGCTGGTCTATCACTGAAGTTATTAGATATGCATATTATGTTCTAAACATTTTCGGGCAAGTTCCTTATGCTTTGCTTTGGTGTCGATATACATTCTTTTTTCTACTTTACCCATTCGGTGTGACTGGCGAACTCATCACCATTATGAAGGCCTTGCCAGTGGTTAAGGATCAAGGGTTACTGAGTGTTTTCCTACCAAATGCTGTAAATTTCAGCTTCAGCTATTTCCACTTTCTCATCTTTGTGATGCTTTGTTATATCCCAATATTTCCTCAGCTGTACTTTCATATGATTGCCCAACGAAAGAAATTTATTGGTTCGGTTGCAAAAAAAGTGGAATAGAACTATGGCTTATTGAAACCTGAAGCTGAAAATTGACAAGAGAAATTGTATCACAAGTTGGATAACATACATGTTAGGATTAGACAAAAACTTGAAGCTAGAATCAAACATGGTGCTTGGCAAAATGTTGTAGTAGCGTGGTTACCTTGATTTGGATAATTTGATTTTCAAATTGAACTTCTGCCTTCTGTCCTTGTGCCTGCAAACACAAAATATTGCAAGATGTACCTGCATTATCTAGGAATCAACTTTAGAAATATACTTTGCAGCGACTGTTGAGTATTTTTATGAGCGTGGCTAAGTTTTTTAATTAGATCTCATATCTGAACTGACCTTTATTATGAACACTTTTGGATAAAGTTAGATATATGTATTTTCTTCACATCAATGGTAGTAACATTAAGTTTCATTTACTTTTTGTGTATTACTTTTGTTGTTCAGAAAGGTGAATTTGAAATGAGCTCAGAAATCACCACTAAGTTATCAAAAAATGCACAATTTGATGTATGCTGACAATAGCTAGATCATTTTACTGCAATTAGGAAAGAAACCACAATGGAAGTTTAGAAGAAATTTTTAATAATATACCTGCATAATATATCTGGTTGCAGGATCTTCTTACCAACCATGGCTTGTGCACATTGATAATTTCCTGGAAAAACTTTCACTTTCACTTAATTCCCTGGAAAACTTTTGTATAATTTCTCATGAAATTGGCAAGCTACAAAGTCAAAACTGACATCGTGTTCTCTATGATATTGCATTGCATTTCTCTGTATTAATATTTTGTGGCACAGGCACTGAAATTGAACCCCCTTCGGGTAGAGAAACATGACAATTGATTACTTAAGTTTTTCACTTCCTATGATGCACTGGATTGGCTCACTAGGAAGTGGAATTACAGTTGTCTATTGAAAATTAATTGGAATTACAGTTGTCTATTGGAATTACAGTTGTCTAGGAAGTGGAATTACAGTTGTCTATTGAAAATTGATTGGAATTACAGTTGTCTATTGGAATTACAGTTGTCTAGTGAAAAGTATGTTTACTGGTATATTCTATAAAACTTTCTAATCTACAAAATTCAAATTCTCCCTTTGCACTTCATTTTACACCATTGAATGTAGTTACCTTAATAACTGTAGATACATTTTACTGCAGCCTATCAATTGATTTATTTTTTTATCAAAATTCAGGATAGGTAACCTAGGATTCTGTTAATTTTTATCTGATTTCAAGTGAATAACTTTAGCTGGAAGTTAAGATTTCAAAGCAATTTGGCTTGCAAAAAAAAGATATGATGATCATCCAACCAAAATAAGAGAGCCACAGCTCGTGCAACAGTCTCTTTTACCAGTTTTAACCACAGCACATCTCATGGTCATGCCTGAATTGCAGTAAACTGAAGGTTCTTTTGCCTTTCAACACAGGCCATTCACTTTAATGAGAGACCACTTCCATCCCAAATTTATCCCAAAAGTACTTCAAGCAATGCATTTTTTTGAAAGTTCAATGCCATAAGCGAAGCAGTAAAAGGATATTACTTGATGAGCAACAGCATTTTCCAAAATTTATAAAGATTCAAACAAAGATCCACTTTTTTTAAAAAGGTTTAAAGCTATAGACTTATGAAAAATGAAAATTGTTTCCCCTTCTTTTGTTCAAGTGAAGACAAATTTTCAAAAAAGTACATAAATAATTTTTCGTAATTTTTTTCAATTTCCTGCTTTTTCTGCTTTTTTGCCATTTCTTTGTCTTCTTACACTGGCAAACGCAAATCAGAGCTTTTTAAGAGCTCGATTCTAACAATTTAGGTCAGTTTTTTAATGACAATTTTTCCCACAAAAATCGAATATTTCCAAAGGCTATAGCCTTAATTTCTAAGAAAACACAAACTTCTTTTTACTACTTTTCTGTTTGTTATATTGCCTCTATCTAAGAAGGACAGAAGCCAATCCGGATTCGTTAGGCGCTCACTTTAAACATTTTAGGTAAATTCTTCGCTGAAGAAGTTCCGGCTCAAGATTGGAATTTTCCAAAGCCTATATTATTAATCTTTTTTAGACAAATGTCGTTCTCTATTCTTTCTTTTCTATTAATTTTATCGTTAATAAAAAGGAGAGAGCCCAGTTAGGACTTGGTCCAGGTTCAATTACAACGATTAAGGAGAATCTTTCACTGGGAATTGTCCGGTGAAAAAACGAAATTTTTCACCGTTATTTTTTCTTTCACTTCTGTTAGTTATATTGCTTCGACAAACGTCAGAGCCCAATCTGGACTCGTTGAAGGTTCAATTGCAACACTTCAGGTAAATTTTTCACTTAAAATTTTCCGATCAAAATTCAAAATTTTCAAAAACCTATAACCTTACTTTTTTATAGAAAAACATCCTACTCTTTTCTTTTTTTCAGTTAGTTCATTTCTCTTAGAAAGAACAAAGGCCAATCACGACATGGTAGAGATTGAATTAAAAAATTTTAGGTAAGTTTTTCACTGGTAATTTTCCGGCCAAAAAATCAAAATTTTCCAAAGCCTATAGCCTTACCTTTTGATGGAAAGAGATCGTTCTTTTTTCGCTCATTTCTGTTAGTTATATTGCTTTTAGGAAAGACAGAAGCCAATCCAGACTTGCTAGAGGTTCAATTCAAACATTTCAAACAAATTTTTCACTGGTACTTCTCTGGCTAAGAAATCGAAATTTTCCAAAGCCTATAGCCTTACTTTTTGTGAAAAAACACCGTTCTTTTTTCTCTCATTTCCTTTAGTTATAATGCTTCTAGGAAAGACAGGGGCCAATACAGACTTGCTAGAGGTTCAATTCAAACATTTCTGGCCAAAAATCGAAATTTTCCAAAGCCTATAGCCTTACTTTTTTGTGGAAAAACATCGTTCTTTTTTCTCTCATTTGTTAAAGTTATATTTTTTCTAGGAAAGACAGGGGCCAATACAGACTTGATAGAGGTTCAATTCAAACTTTTATAGTAAATTTTTTGCCGGTAATTTTATGGCCAAAAATCGATTTTTTACAGAGCCTATAGCCTTAATTTTTGTGGAAAAACATCGTTCTTTTTCCGTTTATTTCTGTTAGTTATATTGCTTCTAGGAAAGACAGGAGCCAATACAGACTTCCTAGAGGTTCAATTCAAACATTCATGGTAAATATTTCACTGGTAATTTTCTGGCCAAAAATCGAAATTTTCCAAAGCCTATAGCCTTACTTTTTTGAGTAAAAACATCGTTCTTTTTTCTCTCATTTCTTTTAGTTTTAGTGCTTCTAGGAAGGACAGGGGCCAATACAGACTTGCTAGAGGTTCAATTCAAACATTTATGGTAAATTTTTTGCTGGTAATTTTATGGCCAAAAATCGATTTTTTCCAATGCCTAAAGCCTTACTTTTTTGTGGAAAAACATCGTTCTTTTTTCGTTTATTTCTGTTAGTTATCTTGCTTCTAGGAAGGACAGGAGCCAATACAGACTTGCTAAAGGTTAAATTCAAACATTTATGGTAAATTTTTTGCTGGGAATTTTCTGGCCAAAAATCGATTTTTTCCAATGCCTAAAGCCTTACTTTTTTGTGGAAAAACATGGTTCTTTTTTCGTTCATTTCTTTCAGTTATATTGATTTTAGGAAAGACAGGGGCCAATACAGACTTGCTAGAGGTTCAATTCAAACATTTTTCGTAAATTTTTCGCTGGTAATTTTCTTGCCAAAAATCGATATTTTCCGAAGCCTATAGCCTTACTTTTTTGTGGAAAAACATCGTTCTTTTTTCTCTCATTTCTGTTCCTTTTATTGCGTTTAGGAAGGACAGGGGCAGATACAGACTTGCTAGAGATTCAAATCAAACATTTACGGTAAATTTTTCGCTGGTATTTTTGAGGCCAAAAATCCAAATTTTTCAAAGCCTATAGCCTTACTTTTTTGTGGAAAAACATCGTTCTTTTTTCTCTCATTTCTTTAAATTATATTGCTTCTAGAAAGGACAGTGGCCAATACAGACCTGCTAGAGGTTAAATTCAAACATTTATGGTAAATTTTTCGCTGGTAATTTTCTGGCCAAAAACCTAAATTTTCCAAAGCCTATAGCCTTACTTTTTTTGGAAAAACATGGTTCTTTTTTCGTTCATTTCTTTCAGTGATATCGATTTTAGGAAGGACAGGGGCCATTACAGACCTGCTAGAGGTTAAATTTAAACATTTATGGTGAATTTTTCGCTAGTAATTTTCTGGCCAAAAATCGATTTTTTCCAAAGCTTATAGCCTTACTTTTTGTGAAAAAAATATCGTTCTTTTTTCTCTCATTTCTGTTTATTTAATTGCTTTTAGGAAGGACAGGGGCCACTACAGACTTGCTAAAGGTTCAATTCAAACATTTATGGTAAATTTTTTGCTTGTAATTTTCTGGCCAAAAATCGATTTTTTCCGAAGCCTATAGCCTTACTTTTTTGTGGAAAAACATCGTTCTTTTTTCTCTCATTTCTGTTCCTTTTATTGCTTTTAGGAAGGACAGGGGCCACTACAGACTTAATAGAGGTTCAATTCAAACATTTATTGTAAATTTTTCGCTGGTAATTTTCTGGCAAAAAATCGAAATTTTCCAAAGCCTATAGCCTTACTTTTTTGTGAAAAAACATCGTTCTTTTTACTCTCATTTCTGTTTATTTAATTGCTTTTAGGAAGGACAGGGGCCAATACAGACCTGCTAAAGGTTCAATTCAGACATTTACCGTAAACTTTTCACTAGTAATTTTTTGGCCAAAAATCGATTTTTTCCAAAGCCTATAGCCTTACTCTTTTGTGGAAAAACATCGTTCTTTTTTCTCTCATTTCTGTTTATTTATTGCTTTTAGGAAGGACAGGGGCCACTACAGGCTTGCTAGAGGTTCAATTCAACCATTTATGGTAAATTTTTCGCTGGTAATTTTCTGGCAAAAAATCGAAATTTTCCAAAGCCCATAGCCTTACTTTTTTGTGAAAAAACATGGTTCTTTTTTCTCTCATTTCTGTTTATTAAATTGCTTTTAGGAAGAACAGGGGCCACTACGGACTTGCTAGAGGTTCAATTCAAACTTTTATGGTAAATTTTTCGCTGGTGATTTTCTGGCCAAAAATCGAAATTTTCAAAAGCCGATAGCCTTACTTTTTGTAGAAAAAAAATTGTTCTTTTTTCTCTCATTTCTGTTTATTTAATTGCTTTTAGGAAGGACAGGGGTCAATACAGACCTGCTAGAGGTTCAATTCAGACATTTACCGTAAACTTTTCACTAGTAATTTTTTGGCCAAAAATCGATTTTTTCCAAAGCCTATCTCTTTACTTTTTTGTGGAAAAACATGGTTCGTTTTTCGTTCATTTCTTTCAGTTATATTGATTTTAGGAAAGACAGGGGCCAATACAGACTTGC